GTAATATTCACGCTACAGCAAAGTCTGGTTATATCAAACAAGTTTCATTTCAAACCTGCATTGATGTATAAATTAGACATTATTTTGGAATGCTTAACTTCTGCTAAAATGTAAATTCAATTCAACATTATGCCAACTTTTACATTTATTTTAGACCCTGTTTTAGTACTAGAGGTTAAATTTTCATCACCAAAAAATGAGAATAACCCTACAGCTACCTACTAAGGTAATGAGCTGTGAAATTAATTCCCTAGTATCACTTTGAAAATATACACCTCAGCTGTTAAGAAATTCTGACTGCATTCAAATGTATTATTTAACTGCGATTCTTCAGTTATCAGCCACTGTTGGCTTGATTGTCACTCCCGTTCTTGTCTGACCCCAACCAATTAAACACCAGTGTTTCTCAACTCTTCAGCTAAGGGAAGTTTTTTCTCCTACTTCTGTGCACACAGGACTAGTCAAAACGATTTTTCCCAGATCGGCCTAGATGGCACTAACTGTCCCTCCCATTGACAGGGATCCTGTGTTCACCAGGAGCACTTCATTCTTAGAGTTTGCATCTTTGCTGCTTTCTCGTCCCCTTCAGGGTATATACCTAGAAGCTGTTTCAGCAGGAAACAGAAAATTTCCAATTCTATGAAGACCTCAGTAAAGCTCCAACTTTACTTTTGCACCAAGTACCTGCCCCACTCTTCTGTTAGCCCAGCACAAAGTGGGATCAATTTTCCTTTCAACTCCAGTAAGACCCCCTAGAACAGTATACTGAAGGTCATTATTTTCCACAAAAAGTGATACAATTTTGGAAAAGATTGGTTTACACGTGAGTTTTCCTTCACTATCTTTGGAAACAATACCAGGTCTGACTTCTATCTCCTGGCCCACCTTTAGTATCCCTTTCAGAATTCTACCACCAGCTACACCTCCCTTAAAGTCCTCTACTTCCCAGCCAGGTTGATTGACATAAAGGACCTAATAACCATGAGTCGGGGTTCTGAAGGAAAGTCGCTTGGGAGTACCAGAATTTTCTATGTGCTCAGAGACAACTTCAGTATTGTATTTCAGCTGAGCAGAAATTGGAATAAGGGGAGCTCCTTCTGCTACTGTACCTCGTACACATGCAAGGATCTGTTCACACTGCTCTTTAGCTGACTTTCTTTTACCAAATCAGTTTTATTTTTTAAAGTTGAAATATGCTTCAGTTTCATGATTTCTATAGCAGCCAGGTGTTGGGGAGTCTGAGGTTGAGGGCAAGATTCATACCAGCCGCCCACAGAAAAGCTGCGTCCCTGAGTGCCGCACAGTGCCACGTCGCAGCAGTCAACACAGGAGACGTGCCTGGCTGACTTGAAGCCCCCTCTGGTCCCTGGACCGTCTGTAGGAGACCCATGGGGGTAGTACTTCCACAGGATCTGTAACACTCCTGCCGAGGATTACTTGGGGCATCAAGTTTATAATTCTTAGCATTAGCATATCTAAGATGACTATAATATTTCTTTCATTTTGCTTTTGAACCTGACAGTATGAACTCCAGAAATAGCTTTTACATTTGTGGATTTCCCAATTGTACCTATGTTAATTGTGGCTTGTCTGCTGATAACTTGGTGTGAAAGTGCCATCAACTTGGTAACATCCAAGGTGGCGAGATCCTGGCGAGAGAGATGCAGCTGACACCACCATGCCAGCCTCGCCCCCACCATCTTGCCCAACCTGAATGGTTTTCAAATGGGTACCTAGAGAGGATTTAATACAGGTAATAGTTACCAGAGTATTAAAAAGGATAAAAGAACAAAATCAGAAGATGAAATAACCCAAATAATAATGCTTTGATGAAATACTAACAATGCTAGGGCTGGGGAATGTAAGAGAGAGGAAGGGTTACCAGGAGTCCCCTCTCTGCTGTGATGCTGGGGGCTTCCTGGGGGGTCGTGGGACCACCTGGGAGGGGCCCACGGGCTGATGCTGGAACTGCCAGGTGAGAGCCTTGGGCGGTAGAGGGCTTGTGTGCCTGGTGCAGGGGCACAGAGGAGGTGCTGAGCTGGTGCTGAGCTGGTGCTGGGCTGAGCAAGAGACTCCACGTGGGCGTCCTCAGCGGCCGCAGCAGCCCACCCAAGGCAGCGGCAGGGAGGGGGCCACCGCTGTCCTCCGCCTGCCTCCCCATCTCCCGTCAGGGCTTCCCAGGGCAGAACCTAACAGAAAGCCGATGAATACGAATATCTGGAAAATGAAGTTCCCAGCTTCCTAAAATACAAGTCAGTGGATGAAAGGGAAGGAACAGGAGCTAAGGAACCGCAAAGGACCAGCAGGTGGGCAGAGAGAACTTGAAAAAGCAATCACATGGTAGATTTTAAAATAAAGCCATTTCCCCTCATGATCATGGGAGAAACTGGTTTCTTTTAACTTTGAAGATTTGAATTAATAATGATGAGATTAAATCAGCATTGAACTAAGGTAATTTTGGGGAAATAAGGATATCTTTTAAAAAGAAAATCCTTTCAACTCAGATTTGAAGGAATGATAAAATAAAATATAATTTTCATAACATATTACAGCCTGAAATTTCTTTAAAACGTGAGTATTTGATTTCTCTAAGCATGAAATTTTAATTAGCGCTAAGTACATCATCTCATGTCTCTCCTTTTTAAAATGTTTTTGCTTTTTGCAAATTTTACTCCTTGCTCAGGTTGTCAGGGCCATTAATATTCTCCCTTCAGCTCTTCACATGACAAACACTGCAGCCTGGTCATCCGTGCTGTACACATGTTTAGTAACTAAGACTACACCCAGCTTCAGCACGGTGAAAATTGGGGTTCTAGATTATGAACCAGAGGCATTCAAAATCCTGAAGTGCTTTTGAAATTATTAAAGAAAGATTGGATTATGTCTGGTTAAATTTTTGCACAGTATTTCCCAAAATGCAGTCTGCAAAACTTAAGTTCCTTAGGCTATTAATAGGAAGGCTTAATAGGGTTTCTTTGGTCTAATAGATCTGGGGAAAATGGTTTTAAACCAGTGCTTCTCAAACTCTGTGTGGTGAAAGGCCATTTTTTTTTTTGTTTGTTTGTTTGTTTTTAATTTTCAATTTGTATCAGACCAATTTTTTATAAAATACAGTAAAAATTATCAGATAAAATTTTAAAAGGCACAAAAATACTACAGTTTTTTTGTATTATTAGGGTCAACAAACACTGAGCTATTCTGTCAAATTTCTCTAAAGTCTCTAAGTGCTTACCCAGTTCATTGCAGTACTTGCCACAGACCAATAAGAAAACTATTCAAACATCCAGCTAAGTTCGCAGACCCCACTTGAAGTTTAAACAAACGTAAATGTTTCTTTACTGAAGTACTTCTCGGAGATTTTGATATGCTAATGGACATTGCAAATCTATAAGAGGTAGATACCACATGCAGCACTTATGACATTTCCCCAAGTAAATGAGAGTGAAACCTCTTCCTTTGGTTGGTTGGTTTTTACCAGCACATCCTACGCAATCTGTGTTCCATGGAACGTGTTTTGAGAAACACTTTTTAATATGCTTTGTTAAACTTTAATTCTCTAAAAATTGTATCTCCACGTATATCATGCAGGTTAACCTTTTCTTCCCAGCATACCAGTATTTCCTGACAATTCCAAATTACAGAGAGAGAGGGGGGTGGGGATGGGGGGGGAGGACGAAGGGAAGGAGGAAGACGAGGAAGAAAAGAGAGGGAGGGAGGGAGTGAAAGAAGGAAGGGAGGAAGAGGGGGAGGAGCAAGGAAGAGGGGACGCATAAGCAGGCACTTAGGAAGTGCTTCTGTAATTGACAAAGGAAAAAATAGTCCAAGGGATAAAAATTCTTTGAAAGTTGCTTCTGTCATAAGACAAACTTCTTTTTTAAATTCTGAACAGTAGTTGCCAGATATCCAGATATGTTGTGCTTACCACAGAAGCCACCAGAATACCGTAGCTCAGCCAGAACCAGGAAGGTGCTAATTTATAGTGAGTGGAAGCTCATAGACTGATTCCTCAGGCTCTAAAGTTCACAGGCAAAAATGTGGGGGCAGCCAGTAAGCCAGCCTGGTGTATGCCTTCTACTTCCCTAGGCAGCAGTGCCGGTTCCTTCACTATCATCCTCTCTTCTCCCAACTTTCCCACCACTGAGACCTCAGAGATGGCAGCTGTGGGTTCTTAAAGGTACACAAAGACAGTGTAGATGGGAATGCCAGAGATTCCTCACAGGAAATGTTTGAGAAGAGCTTGAGTATCTTGGATTGCCTCCACCAGTTGGCACAGGGCACCCAGCCAGCCCTTGCTTAGAGGCTCTGAGTTCTGGCACAGCCTCAGTGCTGAATCTCCTTAGACAAGTGGGCCACCCTCTCTGAACCACAATTCTTCCACTGTAAAATGATACTAGATGACCTCTACAGCTCTTTCCAGGATATAATTCTGTAATCCTAAATAAAGAAATAAGGTGTAGGGCAAATATAAGAATTATATCTAAACTACAACTGGCTACGTAGATTGACAGACCTAGCTTGCACAATCTTAAGTGGATATTTCACAATTAGATTATGTACTCTTAGTTGAGGCAAATGTGAATGTGGAGGTTCCATAAGAGCCCTCTTTATATAGAATTCAATTTGACAAGTGACTGTCGATGTGACTTCAAAAACCAGGGAGGTCTCCTTACTTAAAACAAACATACTGTACAACCATTTGCTGAGGCTCCAAGCTCCTTTCATAGTGCACATAGCCTATCATTTCACATAGATCACTATGGAATCATGCTATGACGAAATGCCTGAAAGACAGTTTTCCCTGAGAGAAGGTTTTATCGTGGGGCCCAGCTCAGCAAGCACCTAGTTAGACAAATCAATTATTACCTAAACCCTCACTACTCAGTATGTCATCCAGGGACCAGCAGCATCAGCATCTATTAGGAGCTTGTTACAAATGCAGAATCTCAGGTGATTTGTTTGCACCTGAAAGTTCAAGAAGCCGAGATCTAACTGGATCCTGAGTTCTATGTGCTTTGCGTATACAACTGGGAATAGATAGGAATTGCTCAGCCTTGAGGGATTCTCTTAAATCAAATTGAGGCTGGTTTGGGTGCAAGCCAGTAAATTTGAGAGGAAAAAAATGCAGAAAGGGAAGTGGAGGGAAGACAGAGATAATTCATCTGCTATATTTGCATAGAATTGGATTAGCTCTTTATGACTTTTCCTCAATTTGATTTTTAAATAGAGCTATTATGTCTCTCAGGTGTAAGGGGCTCAAGTAATCAACCAAAGTGGTGCTGAGAATTAAGAAGGTGCCTCTGTCCTCCTCTTTAACATTTTGCCTTCTTTTGTAGGAGAGGGTGGTACATAAATTCCCCAATTGCCCAAATCAGGGGTCCTTAACTGGTGTTCTATGAGCTGGGTATTGTCTAGCAGGAGATGTCAGGTCTCTGGCATCCAACTACCCTGGGTTTTAATCTAAACTGCAATTTACCAGCCATGTGGTTTCAGGCAATTTCATGTCTGAGAATTTTCATTTCCTCTGCTGTAAAATGAGAATACTGATACTTACAATGTCCTCATGAGCAATTGAAAGATATAAAGAATTCAAAGCACCTACTTTGGGTTAGGTAATTATGGCCATGTAGCAAATGTGAATGCCTTTCTCAGACCTAGTGTGTCAGGGAGCCTTAGCCCAATCAACACTCCACCCCACACCCACTGGCTTTGTATCCAGTGGCTTGTGGAACATTATATTGAGGGCTCTGGGTAAGCCAGGTAAATGAACAAATAACAGAGTCTTCTCTGGAGAGGCCTTCATCCAGTAAGCGGTTCATATCGAGTTCAATGATTCTGAGCCTTTCAGATTTCACTAGTCATTAAAATTTCAAAAAGAATTTAGGGCAGTGATACAGGGTTGCCAACTGCTCTTTCTTTTTTACTATTGTTAAGAAAATAGTTTTTAAAATTTCATTGTTTCTAAAAGAAAATCCTATTTTAACATCAAAAAGTAGGATTTTATTGAAGGCAATTTCTTTATCACGAATTTAACTCTTTAAAATATATTACATCTTTATTTTTTTAACAACGTCGACATGAATAGATGAAAACCTCTTCGTGGGCCTGTGGTATTTGGTAGCCACTCTCTTTTAAAACCCCAGAATGCTAAGGGGGTAGGTTTTGTCCAGAAATTGCTAGAAGTTGCCAGAAAGTCCTGAGATTTGCTGACCATATCTGAAGCCCTACCTCCACCCCCTGACCAATCACAGGATTTTAGTCAACGAGCATGTAACAGGATATGACAATTGAAACATTAGATTCTCACTATCCCAGGCATCCCCAACTTAAATATTGTTTTATTTGCATAAAACAAAGCCTTCTCTATGCCCTGGCTACAACTGGGCTTTGGGAAGAGGCTGAAGTGGCTAGCGGATGGGAGTAGAAATGCAATTAGTTAATGCACTTGTGTTATTTAATACACTTAGTAAGCACATGTGTTTTTAAAATAACTGAAAGGAACCACATCTACATGTAGGCAGATGCTACCGCTAGCTGGGTGGGATTACAGATTATTTGTATGTGCTTTGGACTTTTCGGTACTTCTCACATTTCCCCCATGAAGATATATTATTTATGCAATAAGAATAAAGATTTTTATCTTGAAAAAATAAATACATAAATATTTTAGACAGGTAGTATACTTCCTTTATAACCGTATGCAATGTGCCTGCATGAAACACACTTAGTTCCATTATGTACCGTTTTATAACTTTTTGAATTTCGTGCCGTATGCATGTACGTATTATTGATTCAAAAAATAGTTAATTTTGAAAATGTTGTACACTAGAAGGGGAGTTCCTACCCAGTAAGCTTTATCTCATATTCTGCCCTCCCCTGTGCAACCATCCTCACCCCATCTTTGGGCCTTGGGAGGCTCCTCCTGTGGCCACCTGACTGGTTAGCAGGTGCCACCCCGTCAGGTGTAGTAGAAGATATAATCATTCTCATCTGGCAGTATGGCTTTGCCTGGCTTGATTGTTACAGTTAGGATTGTAAACCATGAATCAAAGCAAAGACCACTTCAAAAATCTAGTGCTTACCAAAATGTGCTGCCATATGAGAGAGTTAGATGAAAAAGAAAAAATAAAGAGCTTTGTGAAACCAGGCCACAGTTGACTTTGG